GTCCGGAGGGCCTCGCCCTCCTGCCCTCGGGGACCGATCTCAGGGCCGACGTGTGTCGTCCCCTGGGGGCGTGGGGAGGGCAGGACATGGCAGGGTAGGTGCACGTGGGCGTGCTCCTGTGTGTACATGTGTGCGTGTGTGTCGGTGTGCACGTGTGTCCATGGCAGTGAGTTAGGGACCGATGCCCCCAGGCCGGAACCCTGCCTCCCTGTTCTGCCTGTGGTTTCCTGCTGGGTGCTGGGTGCCCCGGGACATCACTTTCGTCTCCCCCTGCGCTCCTGCCCAGGACCAGGAGGGTGGCTCAGGGTGTGTGGGTTAAGTGTTATTGGCTAGGAGAGGGGCTTTTTCCGGAGAAACCACCAGTCCACTGTGACCTCCTGCACTTGGCCGACAGCCCCAACCAGGCTGTCTGTCCCCGTCAGAACCGCTGCTTCAGGGTGGGGGCGGTCTCTAGACTGACCGCTCTTCATGGGGCTGCTTCCTAGGGCCTTCCTGGGACTCTGGGTGGGGCCGCTGGCCCGTTGCTCGCTGCTGGGAGGTCCCGGCTAGGGGGCCCCTCTGGTCATAGTTGGCTGTGACAGGTGGTGGGCGGTCCAGGGTGTTGGGGTGCCCCCCACGGGGACCTGAGCACCTGTGATCTGTCTCTTGCAGCCACGCCTGCCGGGCCCCCCACCTGACCCCCACAGGAGAGAAAAGCTGCCTCCTTTCTAGAGCCACACCACTCGAGGACAGAAAGGGAAACCAAGTCATGCCACCACATGGGGACGGGGCCCAGCCTGGCAGGGTCTGAGCCCAGAAGTGCCACCTGCTTCTAATCCAAGTGTCCCATACAGTGTTACCCCCACACCACCCCGGGACGCCCTTTGGCCACCTCTGCCAGAACGACTTCCTAGAGGAGATGCCATTTCTTTGTACATCTTTTGCACTTTCCTATTGAAGACTTGAACACGTTTGTCTTGATAAAAGTTGAGTGACATGTGGAGGCGTTTCACCCACAGCACTTGCGTCTCTCTCAGCCAACGGGCTCCAGATGGGAAGGGAAGCCCCTGGAAACGCTGCCGCTGCCCCGTGGACGCGGCCTGCCCTGGGTGCCCCCGCCCACCCCATCCCATCTGCCTGCGTGGGGCCCCCAGTGCCAGGTGGGTCGGGACCGGGGGGCAGCTGCCTGGCCTGGGGAAGAGGCCCGGCCGACGTCCAGGTCAGGCCAGGCCGCCTGCCCACCCATTTCCTGCAAGGCTGAGGCCGCCAGGTGCGCACTCTCCGTCGGGGGCGGCTCTGTCAGCAGGTGTCTGTCCCTGGCCTTGTCACAGGTCTTAGACTCTGTCATCACCAGCAGAGGGCCTGTGGCCCCTGCCCTGCATGGCAGGTCGCAGCATGTGCTCCTGGGAGGGGAGGAAGGGCCTGCACGTGTCAGCCGAGGGGCTGCTGGAGCCTTTGTCTCAGGCCACTGCGGAAGGGGCTTGCCCTCTGCCAGGGTGTGGCTAGCGTCCTAGCAGGGAGCGTCACAGCAGTGCTGAATGGCCCAGGAGCCCTTGGCCCTGCCCTGTGCCCTGGGAGGCCCGTCATACCCGTGTCCAGGCACACACCCCCGCCAGCCTCCTGGCTGGAGGTGCAGAGAACCCAGGCCATGCCTGGGGCCTGGGCTTATCCCTGTCCTCCTGTCCCTGGAGAGGACACCCCCTGGAGAGGCCTCGATCTGGGCTCTTGCCGCCCGGGGCAGGGCCACCCCTGCCGGCTCTGTGTTCTTGGATGGCTTAGGGAGACCTCTGCCTGGAGGCAGGGGCCTAGACCTGGTGGCCTCTCCAGTCTTCCCTTCCAGCCTGAGTGCCCTCAGCTTCCTGCCTTGTTTCCTGCCAGGAACGCCCTGTTGGAATCCTGACCCTCTGCTACCCAGCTGGTGGTATCCTGCAATGGCCCCGGTTAGGGGGAAAGGAGGAATGGGCCAGGCCTGAGGCCCAACCTCAGCCGGGAAGGGATTTCCGAGCCTGGAGCAGGGGCCTTCCTGGGGTGGTGCCCTGGGGGCGGAATCCTGTCTGAGTGAGAGACAAGCTGAGCCTGGGAGTGGGGTCGCCAGGAGGGCCTCCATTCAGCTCCCTGGCCAGGACTGGGGCCAGGATTTGGGGATGTCTTGAGGACACAGGCCCTCCCAGAGCCCAGATGTCCTTATCTGTAAATGGCTCTCCCTGAACCCCTGGAGGGCTGGACCCCCAAGGCCCTTCCATCTCCAGGCTGCCTGACCCTGGCACTGCGGGTGGGAGGAGTGGGGGGCAGCCTGGAAGTGGCACACAGGTGTCCAGGGCACACGTGTGGCAGTGGCTGACTTCGCCCTCCAGGATGGGTGGGGTCATTCCTGTCCCCTGTGATTTGTCCGGTGCCATGTGCACATGCGTGGTCCTCCGATCAGTGCCTCCCTGCAAAGGCTCTCGGCTCAGGCCGGGCAGGGTGACCGCCACGACCCACCCCACTACGATCCGGGTCCTGTGACGCTCCCCTCCCAGACAGGCTGCCAGCCCTGTGTTTGGCCTCATGAGGAACGCGGTGGCAGGTCCTGAGTGTCAGGTTGGGAGGTACCTGGTATAGGACCGGGGTCTGCGTCTCCACTGCCCAAATTCCAAGGGCAGTGGTCCCTCCCCTGCCAGCCCTTGCTCCCCCAGAAGCTTCCCTCTGTCCCTCCACCTCTGCTCCTCCCCAGGCCTCACCAGGCTGCCCTTCGTCCTTCTCCTCTGCTAGCTGGAGCCGGACACCCACGGACAGCCTGACCCTGGCACTGCCTGGTCCAGGGAGGCTCAGCTCTCCACGGCCAGCACCTGGGAGGCCTGGGAGGGGAACTGCGGACAGCTGGGGAGTGGGTTTCCAGTTGACTGGTTTTGGAGAGGAAAAAGGATCTTAAGAATGTTTTCTTCTTGGTTTATCCATTATCTCCTGCCACAAGTTGCAGCAGCCGTAGGGGAGTGGGGCGTCTACTGCCTTCGGCACCTTCGGGCTGGGTTAGGTTTTGCTGCTGGTGGAAGGAGGGTCGTCCCACGCAAGTGGAGCCTGAATGTGCCAGCCGGCATTTTTGTTTCCAGCCCCCTCTTTATTTAGACCAGTGCTGAGTAGGCTTTCTGTTAAACCATCTTTGGGCCATAGTCTCAGAAAGCATCACCTGCCAGGCTCCCAGGTGACCAGGGCAGTTAGGGTTGGACCGACTGTGTCCAGTGGGGGGGGGCCCTCCTTACACGCCTGCCACGGAAGCATATCCTGAGACCGCCCCCCCAACCCCGTGAGGAGACCCTTCCTGCAAGCCACCTTCAGAAGCTCCTTTGTTTTCTGCAAGTTATGACCATGGTCCTGTCCTGCTGGTACCCATGACTGGTGTGGGCACCTGCCCTCCTGCTTGTTGGGGGTCCCTTCCCAGGGTCCTCTGGGGACTCCCTGGCCCAGGTCGAGGGCTGGCAAGAGTCTTGCCCCAGGGACATCCATAAGCCCTTGCTCCCAGGTGTTGAATTCCAGGGATGCTGAGGGCCTGTCATGTAGAGGATGGGCTCAGGGACCTCTGGAGGGTGTCCAGAGCAGCGTGGCAGGGAGGAGCCAGGGTGGGAGGTGGGGGCTGAGGTCTTGGCCTGGCCACGGCCTAGGGTCCCCCCTCCGCACCTGCATCTGTCCTGTGCTGACCACCGTCCCCATCCAGGAAGCTGGTTCCCACTCCATTTTATATTTCTGGAAGTTTACAGGTCGTGGTGCATCAGCCCAAAGTCATTGGCTTGTGTTTTTGGATTTTTTTCTTAGTTCAGATTTTTTTAAACAAAGTATTTTTTTAGATGCGATAACCCAGAAAGGGCCCGTTGGGTGTGTGTGTGTCCTGAACCCCTGATCTTGAGATGGGAGCCCGAGCCTCCCATGGCTCCTTTGCACTGGTGCATGGGTGGATGAGGGAGCAGACCCCCCACCCAGGGTGGCATCTGGCCCAGCTGAGAGGGGCCGGCCCCTTGCCTGACACAGCCCCAGGCTAGCGAAGGGCCAGGGGTACTTGGGCAAGTTCGGAGGGTCCCAGCCGGGGACCTGGAGTGGAGGCTGAGCCCCTAGGAGTGGTGGCCTGTCCGGTCCTCAGGAGGACGTGTGGGAAGCTCGACAGACTGTGACTGACACAGTTCCCTTGACTTTGTACTCTGTGTGTATGTCTTGGTTTTCTGTGTTTTAATAAATCCTTTGGGAAAGGATTGAATCAGAGTGTTTTCCCAGCTTCTCTCTGATCTGGGATAGGGGTGGCGGCTGGGCCTGGGGAAGCATGTGTGGGGGACAGGGTGTCACTTGAAGCCACCTCCTACCTGAGGAGACTTGGCCCCATGAAGCTGAGGGGCTTGCTGGGAAGGGGGGCACCCCAAGATGGGGTGTTCAGGGGTGGTGCCCGCCCCTCCCACCTGCACTCTGAAACAGACACCATTGCTCAGAGGAACACTGAGCCCCCAGAGACAGCCCGCAGGCCACCGTGGACCCCGGCCTCTCTGTCCCCAGAGGACACACATAGAATATGTGTTGGGAGTGGCCAGGGGTGGGGGCATGTCCATCCCCAAATCGCTTGGGAGAGATGGGGGGGGTCTCAGTCCCCAATCTTTGCCTGTCCCCCAGGGCCCATTTCTCCCAACCTCCCCTTGGCCCCAGGCTTGGGATTCGGGGCCCCCATTTGGTGGTCTCTGCAGGTGGCAGCCTCCCCTTCTCCACACAGCCCTTGGCCCAGCCCTGACCCCAAGCACCGAGTGACCTGCCAAGGAGAGAGGCAGAGAGGAGCAGACCCCAATGGGCTAGGGTTTATTTTGTCATTCCATAAATATGGCGCTGTGTCTCCGCTGAGTGTCATTTGGAAGCGCGAGGCATATAGCATCTCTGCCTACGTAGGGGATGCAGTTAGCTGAGGAACCAGTCATTAAAAAAAGGGGGGGAGAGAAAAAGTAGCACGTTATTTACATGACTGGAGAGAGCAGAAGACAGAGCAAGCCCCTCTGTTGTCCTCCGGACCTCGAATTTGTCAGATTTGGGAGGAGAGATGTTGGGGGTCTCCAGGGGTCATTGGTAAGGAAGACTGGTCCCGGGCCTCCCTCCTGTGTGGGGCACGCCCAGATGACACCTGGGGGCAAACTGCTTCAAGGGGAGGGTGAGGGGCTGGCTGGCAGGTGCCTGGGGCTTCTGAGGTGACCAGGTGGGGTGAGGCTGGCTGTCCTCAAGCCCCCGCTGCCCTCCAGGGCCTGCCTCTGCCCAACTCTTCTTTTTCCTAGGCACTCACTTCCCCTCCACCCCTTCCCCACTCCAGCCCCCTCCTAAGTCAGGGGACTGACCCTCCCTCAGGGAGCAGAGCCCCAGCTCCCTGCAAGGGGGTGTTGAGGAAACAGGACACCTCAGAACCAGGCTGTGGCCAGGAAGCTGCTCGGGTCCTGGCGCTGGGCATCTCGGCCTTGGCAGAGCTCGACGCTGGGGGCCCTTGTCTCCTTCTGTCCGGGAAAAATACAGCCAGCAGGGGCTCGGCCTTCCCGGGTGTGGCTCATGGGGTCGGGGGGTGGCGGCCCTGACCTCGGGCCCGATTGCAAGCCCTTGTCCCTCTTCCAACAGTGGGTGGACGAGGCGGGCAGCAGTGGGGAGGGGGCCCAGCCGCTCTCTCCAGTGAGGCGCGGGTGGTCTGGCCCCTGAGCATGGCCCAGAGCACCTGGTCCTCACCTGGCGGGCCTGGGGTGAAGGTCGCCCTGTTGCAGCGTCCTGTCCTGGGAGCTAGACGCCCCACTCGCTTGATGGCGGGGAGCAGCCGCAGGCTGGGGGCTCTGTGGGGATAGGCTTGTCCCCTCCTTACACCTACAGGGAGAAACTTGCAGGAGACTTGGTGAGGAAGACCCCAAGGGCCTGTTCTAAGAAGGAGAAGCTTCTAGACTCCGGGGGCAGCACAAAGGCCAGAAGCGCAGGCACGTGCCCCCGGCCGCCCTTGTGGCTTTCTCAGAGCTGGTTCCCCAGGCCTCGGCTGAGCCGGGGCTGGGCGGGAAGGACCCCTCTGAAGGGCAAAGCAGGACAGGTGTGTCTGCCCAGCGGTGGGCGTGTGGGTGCGGGGCTGCCCCTGCACAGTGGGCTGGTGCGCCTGTAGAGCCCGGCTCCGGTCCCTACACAGCCAGCAAAGGCTGGGGTGCCGCTCAGGACCAAGGGGGGCTGGGCCTCTGGGCAGCGGCCCCCTCCCCTCCTCTCTCCCTGCAGCTCCAGGCCAGCTGCAAAGAGGCTGATGGTTCTGAATGTCCTGCCCTCCCTCCCTGTCCCCAACTTGTTCCAGGCTGGGGGCTGTGGAATGAAATGACCCACCCCAGCCACCCCTCCCTCTTTGTAGGGTCGGGAGATGTCCCGGGGGTAACACTGCTGCCCGTCTGCCTTGGTAACAAGCCCTGAGCACCCAAGACAGGGCGCCTCACCCGACCTGGTCTGAGGCCTTGCAGGGGACACTGCTCTGGGGAGAGGCTCCCAGGGTCTTTTCCTAGGCGGTGGGGGCTGCTGCTGTGTGTGCAAGTCTCCCAGTCCCCGGGCGTGGGACACAAAATTCCAGGGACCCTCCCTGACTGAATGGGTCTAAGTGTGTTCTGTCTGCAGACCTCAAGGCCCTCACCCTGGGCAGGGCAGGGCAGAGGCCGGCCGCCCCGGGTGTGGTCAGCAGTCGCAGCCCAGCTAAGCACGCATGACCTCTTTCAGGGGTAAGGACGGGGGGCAGCAGACAGAGCACCTGGCGGGGAGGCAGGTGGAGCTCTGGGGGGCCCTGGGCTGGAGCTCAATCCTCAGGCCCCACTCGAGTGCTCCGGGCACTCTGGGCGCTGGGGCTCAACAATTGTGTGCAAGGAGGAAGCAGTGGGGCGATGATCTTGAAATCAGACCCCCAAGCTTTTTGTGGGTCCCAAACAGAGCGAATCCCCCTGGATCCCTGCCCCTGCCAGCAAGGGTGGGGGTGGGGGGTCAAAGGACAGCTCAGGAGGCCCCTCAGAGACCCACTGGGGCAGGTGGCGGTGGAGGAGGGGATGGGGGAGGAATCTGAGGTCAGGCCCGCTGGAAACGACCTGGAGCCCTTGGCAGGAGGGAGGCTGAAGGAGACCCCAGTGGGAGGCCCGCCCCAAGTCCAGAGCCCGGGGCCGAGGGGCCATGGGAAGAGCCAGTTTCCTCTTCCCCTCCCTGACACTAGGCGGGGTTCTCGGCAGAGGTGAGGCCCCAGCTGGTCTCGCCCTGGCCTGGACCTGAGTCTCCGAGACGCAGTGTGGCTGGGAGATAACGAGGTGGTTTCTTCGTGGAGGGTGAGCAGAGGCAGCGGGCTTGGGTGGGACCGCTCGAACGCCCTGGAATCAAGGCCGACGCCCCGGCACGCATCCGGCGTCGGTCCTGCGAAGCAGCGGGTGGCAGGTGGTAGCGACGTTTGAGATCTTTTCCCGATGACGTCTTGGTGTCTTGTTGTGTTTTTGATGCAAACCACAGTCTTGACTTGGCTTCAAAATAGCTTAAGCGGGCGAACAGAGACTAGAAGGGAAACGGAAACTGTCCAGGCGAACGGCCGCGCGCCTTAGGATCTGTAGTCCTTTTTGCTGTAGGGTTTATTGCCCAAAATACTATCAATCTCGTGGATGATGGAAGACGACAGTTTGGGAAGGACCTGTGTGCAAAGATGGGAGAGAATCAAAATCCACCACCGGCACTGGCCTGGCCTGTGGGCCACGTCGGGGTGTACTGGGGCGGGACACTCTGGGGCCTTCCCGGGACAGACCCCCCCCATGTCTGTAGGAAAACTTCAGCCAAAGAATAAATTTAACTGGAGAGGTGAGGACATTCAAAGACAAAGAAAAGCAGTTAAACAGGACAAAATGATAATACTTTAGTCATGCAGCAAAGTCAAGGACCTTTAGTGCCTCCTCAAAGGCTGTAGATAATATTCTGAGCCAGGTCCTTTCAGCTGGTTTGCAGACACCGAGCCCCCCACCAGGTGGAAGAAGTTAACTACATGATGACCCAGCTGTAGCCATGACATAAGCTGCTCCATCGTGCACAATTCCAAGAACTGGCCTCAGAGAAATGAGAACAAACCCTGGAACTGATGATTAACTGTACTTAAAGCAATCCAGATGATGCTGGCCAATTTCAAGAAGACCGTCAGAACCACCTGCGCTACTCCGCACATAGGCCCCCGCCTTCGCCTACACACCCCTGAAACTGCCCTTTAAAAATTCTTGCCCCTGATGGACAACAGGGAGTTGGTTTTTTGGGACATGAGTCCACCTTCTCCCCAGGACTGCTGGCTTCCTCAATAAAGCTGTCTTCTCTTGTATCCAACACTTGTCTCTCTGTAGTGGATTCTTGAGTGAGGAACAGGCAAACCTGAGTTCGGTAACAGGGGGACAGTCTTCCAGCCGTCTGCTGGCCCCAGCCCATTCCACCTTCATTGAATGTGGTTCCAGTGAAGCAGGTGGGGGCCATGCTGCTGCTGTATTCCAGAAGGTTTGGGGCAGAGGGAAGCCTTTCCTGGTCTGCACTTTGCCCCTCAAAGGGAAGGACAGCGACAGCATAAAATGCAGATTCCAGGACCAGAATATCTGATGCCCACACCCCCAAACTGTTTTTTCCAGCCCTCTTAACCTCAGCTGACAGCAGCACCACCTTTCTAGGTGACAAATCCCTGGGGCCATCTGACCCGCTCTCCAGTCCACCCTGTCAGCCAGTCCTGTGGTTCTGCCTTCCAAAACGTCCAGGATCCAAGCAGTTCTCCACCTGTACCTCACCCATCCCTTGCCCCCCAACTGTCACCACTTCCCAGCGGATCTCTCTGCTTCCTCTCCTGCTCCCCAAAGTCTTTCCTCTGCTCAGCAGCCAGCCAGAGAGAGAGGGAGTCATTTAAAATCTAAGTCAGATCCTGCCCTCCTCTGCTCAGAATCTCTCCACGGCTCCCACCTCACTCAACCACTCAACCATCACCGAAGTGCCCCAGGGATCTGCCCCCATGCTGAGCTCATCTCCCGCCCCTCTGCTCCAGACCCCTGCATTCACGTCCACCTTGTGCTTTTGCATGAGCCTGGAACATTCTTCCCCAAGTATCTGCATGGCTCACTCCTCCTCTTTCAAGCCCTTGCTCACATGTCACCATCTCAACAAGTCTACCCCGCAGCTCCCTTCCACCAGGGCCCAAGGCTCCGCCTTCCTGCCCCTCACTGACACCCCTGACTTTGCTCTAGGTT